AGCTTGGCACATTATGTCATATTGTTCTTATATTGTGTATCCTATTCATGCAATTTTCATTTGAAGTATTTCTTTATATAATGTATCATTAACGAGTTATTTAGGAATCCTGGAACTTTTCATTCATTTTATATTACTTATATATTATTTACATACTTATAAGTAGTTGTTCAAATAAATATTCGGATATCTTTTATACTAATTTACAAGTTCAAGTAATGAATTCATATACAGTCATTTTTAATCTAATCCAACTATATTAAAATCTACGTCATAAATGGTTTTAAAAATACTAGAAAGTAGGGCTATTTTCCATCAATATAAAAAAAATTATGACGTGATTTCAAAGCATCAAAATGCGTAAATACCATGATCTATAATATTCGGATCAAATATTATAAATTTCTTTGTGTGTCTTTTATTTTTATTTTTTAGATAAAATATTTTACAATATTTTGATTTACAATAAATGTGCTTTAAAAGTTTATTAAAGATAAACAATAATAATCTTTAAGGCTTCTGAGTAGTCACCGCGGCCATATTAGAATCGTGATATCATAAGCGAAAAACGGTACGTAAAAGGCTACGTATCCAATATTCACTGCAAGTGCTGAAAATCTATAATATACGTGACCTGAACTGTATATTTTCAGTACTGGCAGTGAATATCGGAACGCAGTCAAAGTTTGCTACATTTTTCTGCAAATAAAAGATGTTGCAATAAAATAACACTTGAGATGGCTTTAAGACACTTGTAAAACGGAAACGCTTACAACTTTTTCCCTGCTGACAGTCAATAAATAGTCGTAAAAAGCATATGAATCCTATTTCGGCAGAAAACGCACGATTTGACATCTGTTGAAAGAGGTGAAAAGTATGCTTTATATAAAATCGAAAGATAATAAACATATAAAATCGAAAGATAACTTTTGTAGTGTTCCGTTTTTATGACTTTGACTTTTATGACTAAGCACGAAACAACTCACGTTTTCACGATTAAGCACAAAATAATGTAATAAAGCATAAAATTTCATTGTCCGCACGTCACTTATATAAAGATGAACAAGACAAAGATGAGATGAACAAGGATAAATGAGCTTCTATTTTTCACCGCGATGGTACGTCGCTATCGTCAACGCGGAGTTCTTAGCTGAATACTCGGGAGCCTTAAGTTTTAATTTGTGTAGTATTTAAACATTATTGCAAAAATAATATAACATTTCTATTCTATTAGACCTGTTCATTTTAACTTACTTAATAATAACCTTTAATAATAACCTTTAATAATAACCTTTCAAACTATGATTCTAAAAAAATGAGACCATTTAAGATAATTTAAATATTAATAGAATTCAATTTTTCATAAACTTGAATACTAGATCAGAATCAGAATAATTATCTATTAATTAAAAAGCAATTCAATCTTTAAAATTAATCTTGCATATATAACATTACTTTGAATAGAAAAATATTTTACTGTAACAAAAAATAATTTTTTTTAAATGGAGTTTAAATAAAAGAATTTTATAATCCCTTCTTAAAAAAAATTGTAAGCGTAACAAAACTGGAAAGAAAGGTCCATACAGAATGGCTTTCTTCAAAAGGCCAATACTTAAATTATAGCATCGACGATAATAATGATTTATTCATAACTTATTTTTACTTCATCAGTCTTATTCTCATTAATATAATAATATAATTTAATATGCGTTGTTTATAGATCACTTGCTAGAAGACATGATTAAATTGTATTTCTTATTTTTGAACAAGCATAAAATTGTACTGAAAAATCACCAAGCAGCTCCAATCATTATGCATATCTATAATTATATAAGGAATAAGAGCATTATACTTGAATGTATTGCTCATCATCGGTATCTCCTCTGTTAATTCGTTCCAAGGAATTATTTAGATTTATCTTTTCATAATCGATGTTTGGTTTCTTTTTACTCTTTACCTTTTCGTAACCATCTGCATTTGCATTCAACAAAAAATTATTTACTTGTTCATAATGGCGGTTCCTCATTCTGCACAACATTTATGTATTTGACACTTTCATAATTTGGATCAGTGTGATTTACAGATTCGTAATTTGGATCCGTATCGCTGTCACCAGGCCGACAAACAGATGCATAATTAGGCTCATTCATATCATGTGGCATGCTTTCATAATTTGGCTCCGAATCTGTATCATTCAATTCATCTCGCTGTCTCAATTGCACTTTCTCATAACCATGATCGTCGCTGCTAGCATTACTCACTTGCTTACGCTTAAATGGTATCGAGTATGTATCCATATTATTTTTTATAGATATTGGATTAAATTTATAATTATTCCCTCGCGAAGACTGCGGACGTAACATTTCGTAATTCAAATTGCATGAATTCGTGATGTCTTTAACAACGGAGTTTTTTTGATCATTATTAGAATTAACAGCTTCATATTCGTGATCGAATTCTAAATGCGACTGGATGACATCCCTATCAACTTTAGGTAATCTCAAAGAAGCACTATTATCTTCTGTATGGAAATTGCTCGTAATATTGTTAATGGCGGAATAATGTATGAGATCGGGCTCTTTCTTCTGTATTTCTACAGATTCATGGCTGCACCATGATGCCCGACTAATTTCTATAAGACTTAGTTTTCTACTTGTTTCGAAGTGTAGAATATTGTTAGAGCTTGAATTAACATCATTTTGCTCTTCCATCTCCTTTTTTTTTTTATCACCTTCGCATACATATCCTCGAGTGATTTGCCCACTGGCAATGAAGATCTCGACTTGTCATCGTTTCTATTTATTTTATCAATAGATGCATAACCTGTTGCTTCGGGCGGTGGTGGTAGAGGAGAATTTGCTTGACGTTTTTCAGGTTTAGGGGATCCGGGATTGATAATAGAACTGTTGGCACTTGACGACGACGCTAAAAATAAGAAAAGATAATTGTATTATGTATAATTTATCAATATACTTATATAAGTATGTATATAATTAATATATTTAGTTATTTAAAAAATCCACAATATATTTTTTTAAAACAAAAACAAATAGCACAATCGCAAAGAAAGAATAATTAATCTTTTACATTTTTTAATTAATATTTATTTATCTTCAATATAATTTTGGCCTCCAAAATGTAATCACGATTTTAAAAATGTTATATCAAGTTGTAAGAAAAATTATTTTAACATGTTATTTGTTATATTTTCTATGTGCATGTGAGAGATAATACTTATCGCCGAATCATGCACAGCTGCGAAATTAATGAGCTATCTAATTATGAATATCTGAAATTATCATAATATTGTAGAAACGGCCAATCGAACTTCTTAATAATTAATTTAACCAATATTCTCAATTAATATTCAATTATGTCACAAAAACTTATTTTTATCATTCCTCTATGTATTTTACGATACGATACAATCTCCATATCAAAATATTTATTTAATAACAGACAATTAACTTCCGATATCACGGATTCACTGAATTTTAAACATGTATAGTATATCTTTCCCACTAATTCACAGTAACAGAAGTCC